AAATTAGAAGCAGTGGCAGAGAAATCTACCCAGTGTGTCCCCAAAATGGGCACAATGTCTGGGAACCAGGAACTTCTTCCGGGTCTCCCACATGGGTGAAGGGCCCAAGGACTTGAGTCACCTTCTGTTATTTTCCCACATGCATTACCAGGGAGCTGGATGGGAGTGGAGCAGCCTGACATTTGAACCAGGGTTGTTTAAAATGCTGCCACCACAGGCAGAGGCTTAACTTGCAATGCCACAGTGCCAGTGCCTAAAGCTCATCTTGGAATGATCGGGAATTACCACAGGACCTGGACAGAGGTATCCTGTGGTCATAGGACTTTCCTTATCAGAAAAGCACAAGAGAACTCAAACTCTCATCATAAGTTCACCTAGTGCCTGTGAAACCAGGCAAGAAGAATTCTCTGGAGAAAAAGGGTGGTTAACATGCTACGATAGTGTGGTACCTGAAAAGTGGCCACAAATGGAGAGAGGACATGCTACAGCGTGAGGTCGGTACATCTGAGGCCAAAAGACAGGACAGAACTGAGCATAGACTAATGTGGCTGGCAAATGGAAGGCAAGGAGAGAAGAGAGGCAGGGCAGACTGGGTAGAGGGGTCGTCAGCAAGGGACTTACTCTGAGCATGATTAGGACCACTGGCTTGTGTTAAGAAAAGATGTGGTTTGTTAGAGAAAGGAAGGATAGAAGGAAGAGCATTTGGATGTAGATAACAGCAAAGGGAGAATTCAAAAAATATGAGGGCATGGGATGGGTGATGTGTCGCTGCCTGCAGTGCCAGCATCCTATGTGAGCATCCACTTTGAATAGAGCCCCCTGCTAAATGCATCTAGGAGGGCGCCAAAAGATGAGGGTTTTAAGCGCTTGGCTTCACTCTGGTCCAATTCCATTTGAGGAATAAACCAGTAGATGCAAGATCTCTGTCTTTTCCTTTTCTCTCTATAATACTGCCTTTTCAGTAAATATCTCTCTGTCTCTCTGTCTCTCTCACACACACACAGTGCAAGAAGGGGCCAGAGGTGTGATACAGTACATTAATCTACAGCCTATGGTGCTGGAATTACATAAGGGAGCTGATTTGAGACCTGGCTGTGCCACTTCCCATCCGGCTCCCTGATCAGGTGTCTGGGAAAGCAGCAGAAGATGGCCCAAATGTTTGCATCCCTCCACCCACATAAGAGACCTGGAAGAAGCCCCTGGCTCTTAGCACTGACCCAGCTCTAGCAATTGCAACCACTTGGTGAGTGAACCAGCAGATGGGTGATCTGTCTCTCCTTTTCTCTGTTTCTCCATAACTCTGTCTTTTAAATAAATTAAGATAGATATTTTTAAAAGTCTTTTAAAAGGGAAGGAAGATAGGTGAGCAGAGTGGCAGTGAGTTTTCCAAGTGGATTATGCTTACAGACCTCTTAGAGATCTTGTTCAAATGCAGATTCTGATCAGGACATACAGACGGGGCCTGAAATGCTGTCTTGTCTTTTCTTTCCTGTTTCTTTTCCTCTTTCATTTTTAAGATTTGTTTATGTATTTGAAAGTCAGAGAGAGAACAGAGACCTTCGAGTGGTGGTTCATTGCACAGATGTCTGTCAGGTATTCAACTGGGCCAGCCTGAACCCAGTAGCTTCAACCTGATCTCCCACATGGGTGGCAGGGACCTAAACAGACCATCTTCCATTGCCTTTCCCAGGCCATCAATAAAGAACTGGATCAGAAGTAGAGTAGCTGGGACGTGAACTGGCACCCACATATGATGCTGGAGTAGTATGTAGCATCTCTACTTGCTGTGCCACAATGCCAGATCTAAGACATTGCGTTTCTAACAAACCCCCAGACAAACTGCTGGTGCCATTCTGACAATCATGTTTTGAGTTGCAGATTCTTTAAAAATTAAAGAACTAAACAGAACTGACCCAGCAATTGCAATGACCAGCATGTGCATAAGCTGATTGGGGTGACAGACTGTGCCAGACCCTGTACTGGCAAACTCACACAAGAATCAGGTCTGGGATCATCTCGGATGAAGTTTCTTTGGAGATCCCTCCAACTGAACTGCTGATCTCAGAACCCTAACCATGAAGAGACTATGTCAGCCAGGGGATTCTGAATAGGTTTCATTGCTATTGGAATGGCGAGATTGGCAGCAGTTCACACCTTTTGAACTATCAAAACTGCTTGAGCAGAACTCTTGCAGCGTGCTCACATCGGGAACCTGGGATGGGTGGGAGGCTGAGTGGCTTTTCCCTTTATTTCTCCCCTGACCCCAGATATAGGGGAAAAAATAATGTTAGTGTGGAGACAAAGGAGCTGGAAAGAATGAAGGCGTTGGGATGAATGTAATTAATTAGGTTCAAGCCTATCTCTTCAGGGTGCTATCAATTCTCTCCCATCTTCCTTGGGCATTTTTTGCAGCAAGGGCATTTGAAGGAGCTATTTTTCAGCTTTTTATTAAAAATGTTCCCCCTCTTCCCTGCATACAGTTGCTATCTGTTCTTTATCCCTAAAATCTAGCATTTCAAACAGATATGTCTTGAGTTTGATTTCAGCTTTTTTTTTTTTCCCCCTTCTGGCTTCTGGTAAATACACTAAGTTTTCACTTCTAACTCAGATCTCTTCAGGCCTAAGTAAACCTTGATTTTAAAAACTTTATTTGAGAGGCAGAGTGACAGGAAGATCTCACATCTGCTGCTTCCTGTCCCCAAATGTCCACAACAGCCAGGATTGAGCCACGTTGAAGGCAAGAGCCTAGAACAGCATCTGGGTCTCCCATGCGGGGTTCAGGAGCCCAAGGACATGGGCCAGCTTCTGATGCTTTCCCAGGTGTATAGCAGGGAGAAGGATCAGAAGTGGACAGAGATTGGATGGATCAGGTGGGACATGAACTGGCACCCACATAGGATGCTGACATGGCAGGCAATGACTAAATCCATTATGAATATGGCATCGAGGTGGGGGAGTTCTCTCTCATTATTGCTTTGATTATTGCTTCTAAAAGATTGGCTCTTTTGGAGAGTGGATGCTTATATTTTGCATCTTGTTGATGTTCTCCATTTCCATTAACTCCAACACTTGTTTTTGAATTCTTGAAATTTTTCCTCACATTTACCCTACATATTGCTGGTTTGCTCTTAGGGTAGCATCAAGTCTTCTTTTAACTCCTTCAACCATTGCTTTTATCTTTGTTACTGTGGTTTTGATTTCCTGTTAACGCTCCGTTTACCTCATCAGCCGATTATTTATGTATTCATTTATTCATTTATTTGAAGGTCAGAGTTAGAGATCTTTCATGTGTTGTTTCTCTCCCCACATGGCCGCAGTAGCCAAAGCTGTGTCAGGCCAAAGCCAGGAGCCAGGAGGTTCTTCAGGTCTTCCTGACAAGTTGGGCCATCTGCCACTGCTTTCCCCAAGCCAATAGCATGAATCAGAAGTGGAGCAGCTGGGACATGAATCAGCACCCATAGGAGATGCTGGCCTTGCAGTCAGTCAGTGGCTTTACTTGCTAAGCCACTCCTCAATACCTCAAGCCTGTTTTCTTTTTTTGTTTTTTTGTTTTGTTTTGTTTTGTTTTGTTGACAATTCAATAGACTGTTTTAGTCTGTAAATAGTTACAGGTCCCTGGGTCAGGAAGATCTCATGAAGTATAATAACATCCGGCCTGTTACTATAAATAGAAGTGCAGAGAAGGGCACAAGGGAGATGCAGGTACAACCCTGTTTCTTGAATCAAGAAATCTCCAGAATTAGAATTAGGCGTTTTCTAAAGTTGGGTTCTGCTTCATGGGCTTAATACATGTGGGATTACTTCAGGCGGTAATGCCTTTTTTTCCCCTTGCTTAACACTATTTCCCCTTGCTCTCCATTCCCTCTCCCCAGGGCTTTTAACTCTCTGATTGGATAATCGTTACTGAGGTCCACCAAGTCCAGAGTTAACAGCTTTGAAGATGCCAGGGTTGCCCAATGACAGCCTGGGGCATCTGCCCTCTTACTCTCCAGAAACCACAGAATGGTCCAGAGGCAGTGGCCAGACCATCTTCTGCCTCACGCTCTTAGCTTTTCTGTCACTCATCTGCTTCAGGATTCCATCTTTTTCAACATTTTATGTGTGGCTGTTTTTAAAGCCCGGGGTGTCTGTCTCCCTTTCTTGAAATCTTGATCTCTCGGTTCCAGCGATTGCTTTTGTGTATGTGTGTCCCAGTTACAGTATGTCCTGTGTCCAGGTTTGTATCCATCGTCCTAATCCGGCCTGTCTCTAGAGCATCATGGTCTTGCTCAAGGGTCTCAACCCCCATGTCTCTAAGCCCTTACTCGGCTTTATATCTCTTCATAGAATTTATCCCAGTTTGACTATACAATGTCTGTGTCTAGAAGATATATTTGTGAAAACACGCCCCCTGTGTCTAGAAGATACCTCCCGATCCTCTATTTCTGGTTTCTGATCTAGTCTGAAGGCCTCCTACAGTTTAGGCTACAGACCACATAGGCCCAATGCTCGCGCCTGCAGCCTGCGTTCCTCCTCACACCAAGTGAGGACACTCCTTGGATCTGTCAGGATGGAGTCTCGAACTCGCATCGCCCGGCTCTCTCAGATGCCCCGCCCCCGGCGAGTCCGCGCCCGACCACTCGCTCTCCCTCAGGGTCTCCACAGCCGCCTCACCCGCGGACGCACGTGACCGCGCCCTCCGGCGCCACCCCCGCAGTGCTCCGCCCTCAACTCGCCGCTTCCGCCAGCCCCGCCCCTCGCCGCGGGCAGCCAATGGGGGCGCACGCTTCTTGGCCCCGCCCCGGCGCCCTCCTCGGCGCGCGCCCCTCCCTCCGCCCGCCGGCCCGCCCGTCAGTCAGACAGGCAGTGGTTCCGAACGCCGCCGCCGCCGCGAGCTCTCGGCCTTCTGCTGAGCGGACGCGCTTCTGCCCCGTGTCCCGGTCCGCGGCAGCGGCTGCTGCGCGGGCGGCGACTCGGTCCTTCCGGGAGGCGCGGCGGGAGTGGAGCGGCGGCCGCGGAGCGACGAGCCCAGCGAGGCGGAGGCGGCCCGGCAGCCAACATGGTGGAGGCGGCGGGCGAGGGTGCCTACGGCATGGTGTGGTGAGTGTCGGCGCCCCGTCCGCAGGCCCGGCCCGCTGCACCACCCGGGGGCCGCAGCAGCCGCCCTGGTCCCGGGGTTCGGTCGCAGGTCGGCGTGCCCCGAAGCCCGAGGCCCGAGGTCTAGGTGCCGCTAACTGCTGCTGCTGCTGCTGCTGCTGCTGCTCGGGAGCTCGTCCCGGGCCGGTCCTCGCTGCCTGCTAAGGGAGAGGTTGCAGGGGGTGGAGGCTCAGGGTGCAGGGGATGCCTGCACTGGCTTGTTCTGGCTGGGTTTCAAGGCCAGACCCTCCCCAGTTCCCCATGCCCCTGCCCCGGGAAGGCAAAGGAAGCGTCCCTCACGCCCCAGTTTGCCAGCTTGGTCTTTGAGGTGTGGTGGTCGAACCGCACATTCCATTAGATGATCGCCTAGTGACGGCGGGTGTGCGGGGTTCCCCAGGATTAAGTCTCTGGCAGCCCCCTCCACCGCGACTGCTTTGATCCATTGTCTTGGAGAGGGTTGCTGGTGCTGCAGCACAGGTTTTCCAAAAAGCAATGTCAGCGACAGGGGGTGGGGAAATTGGGTGAAGGATTACTGTCTTGATGTTTTTTTGTTTTTTTGTTTTTTTCTGAAATTATGTAATTACATTTTTTAATGATGATAAACATTGTATTATGTGATACAGTTTTATAGGCACTAGGAATTCCCTCCACCCCTCCCACAACCCTCCCCCCATTGTGGATTCCTCCACCTTGCTGCATAACCACAGTTCAAGCTCAGTTGAGATTCCTTCATTGCAAGCATATACCTAGCATAAAGTCCAGCATCTTATTGTCCAGATAAGTTCAGTGGCCTCTTGGGGAGACCTTCTCTGGTCTGAAGGTAGAGCTAACGGTAAAGTTCCGGTCAGTTAAAAGCCCCAACAAAACATCAGCATCAATATACAATGTTATGGAATTAATTGACATAGTAATGAGTAAACAGTATGTTAAAAATAATGCAAGTTCAATTCTTCAAAACATCTGGGTTGAGACAGTATCAATGACCGGTTTAAAAAGTAACAAACAACCAAACAAAAATTACAGGTTAAATCAAGGCAAACATGTGGTATCTAACCTTTTGGGATTCGCTCATTTTCCTTAGAATTATAGTTTCCAGTTGGGCCCATTTAGCCACAAAGAACTGCATTTTGTTTTTTTTAATAGCTGAGTAGTATTCCATGGAGTAGATGAACCAAAGCTTTCTTATCCAATCTTCTGCTGATGGGCATTTCGATTGCTTCCATGTTTTTGCAATTACTGATTGTGCTGCTATGAACATAGGGATGCATGTTGGTTTGTCGTGAAACAGGTGGTGGTGCATGGCGATTCTTAGTTGGTGGAGCGATTTGTCTTGAGGTTTTTATTTATTTTGTTTTAATGGATGCAGTCAATCTAAGTGTGCGCGTTTCAGATAGATGCAGCAAGCATCCCTTTGGGTTTCTGAAAGATCTGCTTGGGATTGGGCCTCGTCCGACCCTCCCCCAATCTCAAGTGCGCTCTGTTCTCTTACCCAGTGTGAAGGCTGCCAAGGTGTTTTAGGCTAATGACGGTGCCTTTCCCCTCTTAGTGTTTTAGCGGTCAGTGTACTGCAGCTTTAGTGAAGTGATTTTTTTTTTTTGCCGTCACCTGCAGGCTCCCCTTCTGTTGATCCACATCCCCCTGAAACATTCATGGAGTGATGGTGATGATATCATTTTTGTTAGCTGTACGGGCCAACTACTGTTTGGTACTGAGGACTGGCAGGAGCGGATACTCTTCTGTCTGAGTCTTAGTATCTTTTCTGTTGAGGAAGTAAGCTCAGTTATGGAATGTTTCATGCTGAGTGCTCTGCTGCAAGCTGTGCTTTGATTTTGTTTGAACGGCCACCACGAGAGAGGAGAATATGGCCTTTGCCCTCTGTTAAGATGTGGAAGTGTTTCCAGGTGCAAGCCTTTTTTCCAAGGTGCCAGAGTGAAGGTGTGAGACTTGAGAGCGAGACCAAAGTTTGAGATCCTGTGTGCAACGCCCAGGCGCTGTTCATGACACCCTTCAACAGAGTCAGTGGTAACTCCAGCATTCGAATGCATTTGAGAGCCGTGTGCAAGTGTGTTTCAAGAATGCAAACAAATTTAGATGAAGGTGATTTTGGAAATGCCTTGAAGGGCATGTTTTACCAGTTACCGTAGCTCGGTAGGAATATAGAGTGCGTTTTTAGAAGACTGCTTGACTCCGTAAGGAGCAAATGCTCTCTCGGATACAGAATGACAGGTGTCCACAGCTTAGAAGCCAAAGGAGAACTTAAAAACTCAGGTCAGACTTGAAAGAAATCCGGCCTTCGGAGTAGCTGGGAGAAAGTCCTGCCAGGGTGTCCCTTCTCTGTCATCCCTCTCATGCTGTGGCACCCGTGCCAAGTCCACCAGAAGCTGGGTCTCCTTAGCAGAGGCTCAGGATTGCCTGTGTCCTCTGACCCCTGCCTTTTAAAAAGTAGAACTAAAATAGGAACTGAAGAAAAATCTTTTCAAGACAGATCAGTGGAAAGAATGCTTTTCCCTTAGCTGATAAGAAACTTGCTGAACCGATCTGAAAATGATGTAGATTAGGGAACTGTGTCTGTCACTGCTTATGGACTTATCTGACCTCCGTTCAAGTGCCGAGTACTCTGACTGCAATTTTCCCTTTCTAAATAAAATGTAAGAGATGTTTGAATCCTGGGAGTCCAGGTTATAACCTTTTCTCTTCAGGGTAATGGTGTGACCTCGTGTTGACTGGATCTTCTGTATGTCACATTCATTAGCATCTGATCAATAAGTGTTGGAGAATGAAGATTTGTGGTCAAAATACTAATATTTTGTATAGCAATATTTTAAACACTACTGTAAAGACTCAGAAGTTTGTTAATGTTTTACAAATTTTCTTTTCCAGTTTTTGAACAAGTTCCTCTGGATTTTGTTTTGGTCGGAGCCCCTTTCTAACCACTGTGTGGAAGGTGTAGAGATGAAGAGCGAGGCTTGAGCTGGGCCTGTAAGAGTGGGTGTGAGTTGGACAGGCAGATAATAGAAGCAAGTGACAGCTTGAGCTGTAGAATCTAATCCTGGAAAAGCACTTGGGTGGCGAACCCTCGGGGACTCTCCAAACCCCACATTTAGCAATGTGTGTGTGCTGTGGGGGAAGTAAGAATGTTTTTGAAAGGGGCAATCAGTTTGTCAGTTTTGAATTTTTGTAAAAGATGGCTTAAGTGGTGGGAACGACAGGAAGAACAGCGACTGGAGTGGTGGGGTCTTTGAGGCCGTGGTGGCCTGCCAGGGCTGAGGGGCTGTGTGGAGAATAGGCAGCAAGGGCCGTTGCTGGAAGAGTGGAGGGGGGAGGTCCCATCGTGGCAGGCAGGAGCAGGAATGGAGGATGAGGCAAAAATGTGAGACCTGGGAGAATGACAGAACGGGTATCTCCTCGATTTATTATTCTGGTTTATCAGAAAGGCTGGAAGAGAGACCCCTGAGGGCTTTCCTCCACTGACTGACTCCCCAAACTCCTGCAACAGCCAGGCCTGGTCCAGGCTGAAGCCAGGAGCCCGTGACTGCCACTGGGTCTCCCAGCTGGGATCACAAGCAGGGTAAGGCCTGAACCAGGCACCCGAATGAGGGGCGGTGGTCCTGAACGGCGTCCTCATTGCTCTGTCCACTCCTGCCCCTGGGATTGCTGTTTGCCTAAAAGGTTGCTTGTATTTGTAAGATGGATTTAGAGTGTTCTTGCATCTGTTGGTTCATTCCCCTCAAAGAGCTGGACTGATCTGAAGCCAGCAGCTTCATCCGGGTCTCCCCAGTGCCCAAGCAGTTGAACTGTCCTCCACTGCTTTCCCAAGTATCTTGGCTGGCCGGGAGCAGAATTGGGAGTGAAGCAGACAGCTAGAACCGGCCCCGCACACCCAATACAGCACTGACCAGCCCTTGGAGTCAGCATTAGAGGGGGATTTCTGAGTGGGAAGAGACAGGTTTCCCTGAGTGAGTGGGTGTGAGCACAGCCGTTCATCCAGGAAGCCTGGGAGGATGTGGTGGCTTTATCCAAACAAAGGAGGCTGTGGGCAGAGCAGGTTTGTCAGGGAGAAGTGGTAAGTACTGGTCTGGACTTGAATTTTTGATAGCCTAGAATATCAGGGAGGAGAACAACCCCCCTTTTTTTTTTCTGTCAAATGCCATTTGGATATTTGCGGCATCTTTCAAGGGCTGTGTGAAATTCTCAACTTAAAAATCAGCTTGTTGTAGGTTTATTGAATTTTTTTTATGTATTTATTTTTATTGGAAAGGCAGATTTTACACAGAGAAGGAGCGAAAGAGAGGAAGATCTTCTATCTGCTGATTGACTTCCCAAGTAGCTGCAGTGGCCAAAGCTGAGCTGATCCCAAGCCAGGAACCAGGAGCTTCCTCCAGCTCTTCCACGTGGGTCAGGGTCCCAAGGCTTTGGGCCATACTTGACTACTTTCCCAGGCCACAAACAGGAAGCTGGATGGGAAGTAGAGCAGCCAGGACACAAACTAAAACCCATACTGGATCTCAGGCGTGCAAGACAAGAATCTTAGCCACTAGGTGTCGTGACAGGCCCAGTTTATTGGAGTTCGAGTCCCATCTGTGTTTGCCATAGCAGAGTTAGGCCTTGTGGTTTGAGTGGGCATCTAGAGGTTTATAATGAACTGGAGATGAGAATGTGTATAAATGATTTATTTGTTTTTTAAACCTTGGAATAGGTGAACATAAGTACACTTGTATTGGGTCTTGGCAAGCATGTATTGTGGTTTTTTTGTTTGTTTGTTTTTTAAGATTTATTTATTTTTATTACAAAATCAGATGTACAGAGAGGAGGTGAGACAGGGAGGAAGATCTTCCGTCTGATGATTCATTCCCCAAGTGAGTGCAATGGCCGATGCTATGCCGATCCAAAGCCAGGATCTAGGAACTTCTTCCGGGTATCCCACATAGGTACAGGGTCCCAAGGCTTGGGGCCATCCCCTACTG